TGTTCCAGGAACACATGCACAGCTGCCTGCCATGGGGGTAGGGATGAGGGAATTGACCAAAAATAACTGCAATTTATTATCTAAGCCTTCCTCTACGAGTTGCAAACTGTCAGTAGATTTACAGAGTTCCAAAGTTCCAAAGATTCCAGTGTTTTCTGTTGTACCAGACTCTACCAGTGCATTTTTGTCTAGGTTGGGAGACAGATTCCTGGTGCTTCCTACTCCACCATCTTCTCAGAATCCTCCCTATATTCCTTTTTAAGTATCAAGATCTGTATAACTTAGCATGCATTTTCACTTATTTTCTTCCATTTCATCTTTTCATCTCTTCTTGTACATGGACAGCTTATCTTCTTTGATCCTCTGATAGGTTTCAAACCCATAGTTTGTCCCCTTCAGGATACATCACTTTTACTTTTCCAACTTGCATTAAATCCCTGAGGCTTACCATCCCTCTGTCCTTTGTTCCTTGGTTTTCCTTTCTTTTCTTTCCCTGTTCATCCAAAATAAATTATGAAGTTAGCTCTTCTAAGTGCTGCCATGTTCTCTGCCAAATCATCTCAAATCATTTCAGCCAGCCTTAAAATGTTAAGGGTGGAGGTGGGTACCTATGTTGCTTATAGATTATTGCCTGCAGCAAATCGGAAAGTTCTAGGAAGATAAGAAGATGTGGCTCAGTCTTAAAGAGAGGACTGTTTCAAGGGCCATTGTACATGTTAGCCAGTAGCTCCCCCTTTCTGGGATTTCAAAGCTTTTGTGGTGAAACAAGACTTTCTTCGATTTTGTGGCCTAAATTTCTAAGTAATGTCCAAGTGTACCTTCTGGTTTTGGAACTTGGCACTCTTGGTCATGGAAAAAGCACTAACCGTCTGTTGGTGTCTCATGTGAGAGTGGCCAAGCACCTCTTCTGGATTCTTTCTAGACTGAGATCATGGATTATTTCTTAAAGCCCTTTGTTACTAGATCTCCGTGGTCATCTCTTCTTGACCTTTGACCTGGATTTCTTTGGATCTGGTACTCTGTGATCCTTTAAAATTTTTCTGCCATCCTTCCTTTTTATTGCCAGCACCTTCCTTCTCTAGGGTCCCCACAACTCATTCTTGATTCTTAGTGCTACTCCACTCACAGCAAAAAAAGGGCAGAAGACCTGTCATTTTTCGTGTTTATTCCTCTCCCAACTCCCCTTCTCCTTTCATCTTTTCCTTCTGAGTCAAAAGAACTTTACCAGCCTTGGCCTGCCAATCCATGTTGGCTTTTGTCACCACTTTCTCTGATTAGCACTGGTGCTGCAGGTATTCGTCACTCCATGCCCACTGATGTCTTCTCATAGACTCCCAGGTTTTTTACATGCCCAGCCTGCTTGCTTCTGTTTTAAGTCTAAGCCTCTTTCTATCATTCTTTTACTCTCCTTCTCACATCCCTCTGTATCAGATCTATTCAGATATCCCACTTCCTGTCTCTCTATCCCCCAGCACATCTTTGCCACAAATTCAAAATGAAGTGTAAGAGGGGACTTCAGAGAGCTGTTAATTTTATCCTTTTATCTAACAGATAAGGAAACTGTGACCAGTCTTTTTGTGGCCTATATAGCCTCACACAAACTGTGACTAGAAAGAATCCAGAAAAGAAAGCAACTTGCCTAAAATTACAAAGTTCATTTGGGTATAGATCTTGACTCCCAGAATATAGTCTCTCCGTGCCCTTCAAACTTTTGTCACTTCTGTCTTCAAGATTCTCCTTTTCGTAGATACCTCTTTGGGCTCCTTAGAGGTGTTGTAATGTGTTAGGGTGGAAGAGGGGAGGGAAGGGAAGGAGAAAAGGATGTTATAGTACACAGTGTCTCTCCTTTCTAAATCGTTTTACCTGTGTTTACAATTTGTCTTGTTCCAATAATGTTTAAGTCCTCTAGCTGTGCTGTTCTTAATGAGGGCTCAGCTTAAAGATCATTAAATAAGAGTAGGTGTACATTCATTCAGCAAATATTTACTTAAACTTTTTCTGTGCCTAAGTATTGGGCAGTAGGGATGAAGAAATAAGTCCAGATAGCCCCTAATCTCAAGGAGCTCGTAGCCTGGTGTGATGAAGACTGTGCTTCTGCCATAGAGCAGTGGGAGTAAGAGAACAGGGCTTTATAACTGTCTTGGGAAGATAGAAAAACTTCGTTGAGGAAGACAGCTTGAAGCTGGACTTTGCAGGATAAATGGGATTTTTACAAGACACAAATCTGATCACTTCTGTGCTCAAAACCCTTCATTGGTGCCCAGTTTTCTCAGTAAAAACCAAAGTCTTTTTGTGGCCTTTATAGCCTCACACAATCTGGTCCCCCTTTACTGTCTGACCTTATATCCTTTTCCCCTCTCCTCAGCCCCCTGCTCCCACACCAGTGGCCTCCTTGCTATTCTTTGAACATACCAGGCACACTCCACCTGCCTCAGGGCCTTTTTTATACCTGTTCTTTTCTCTGTCTAGAGTGATCTTCTCCCAGATAGACACATGGCTCACTCTTGTCCTTAATCTTGTTTTTTTCCTCCAAAAGCACCTACTCAAGTGATGCCTTCCCTAACCGTTCTATTTAAATAGCACTTACTGTCCAGCACTGTTTGTCCCTTCTCCCTGCTTTATTTTTTTCTGTAGCGTGCATAACATACTAAATTATTTTGTTTGCTGCCCTCAGCCTGAGAATATGCTTCAAAAAGAGGGAGTTTGTTGGGGCACCTGACTGGCTTCATTGGTAGAGCATGAGACTCTTGATCTTGGGGTCATAAGTTCAAACCCCAGGTTGGGTGTGGAGCTTACTTAAAAAAAAAAGGGGGGGGGGAGTTTGTTTTCTCTTTTTTGTTTATCCAGTGCCTAGAGCAAGGCCTGGAACAAAAATAACTTCTTGAATGAATTAATGAATGGTCATTCAATAAGAGTCCACTTCCAATAAATACATTGTGTGATTAGATTTTTAAATTTTCATAACTGTGTTCTAAATGTTGTAGGATCTCAGAAGTCCTTGAAAAGTATATTGGAAGTTAATTTCTTGTTTAGAAATTCCAGGTTGACTCTCATTGTTTAGAATAGAATGAGAACATGAGAAAAAAAGGAGTAATGAGAATTTCTATATGAAAATTAAAGTGTCAGGAATGTGACAGAATTTCAAAAAGTTAGGCTATTTGTTTAATGTGGGTGACTATTTATTTCTGTGATCCTTGTTTATTCCCATAATTCTTCTCTAATTGTTACCTCACTCCCCCTTTAAGGTAAGAATTACTAAGCCAAAAAAAGAGAAATGAAAAATAAAAACAGAATTTCCATAAAAATCAGTTGTCTTTTGATTGTGATTTGAGCTCTTACGGATGAGTAGAGAGCTAAGATTTTATAACACAGGCTGAGAAGTAATTGATGAATGAGTGAGCGTATTACTCAGAGTGGCATGGCCCCTCCAGCCTGCTGCAATTTTTAAGGTGTGCTGGCCACTCATGTGAAGGCTGATCAGCACTTCGGGGTGCTGATCATAGTTTTTTCCTCTAAGAATGTACCAGAGCTACAGCTTGGTATAATTCTTCTCTCTTTTCTTCCTAAATCTTCAGTATGGCAAATTGGTCAAAGAGCTTAGTTCTGACTGTAAACTTCACTATAAAAAGGCATGTCATCTTGGGAGGTAGTGGCTGGAAGTCAGAAGTGCTGGGTTCTGTTCCCTGGTTCTGTCTCATTTTCTCTCCAGTCTTACGTACTCATCTGCATGAGCAGAGGTAGGCCTGAATTAGGCTGTCTCAGAGGCTATTTTAAGCTTGACAGTCTGACATTCCAGTGACAGGTAAAAACTTGTGAGTAGCCGAATAGAGTGTTCCTACTTTTGAGCATCTTTTAGTTGCCTCTGGGAAATGGTCGCTGTTTTCTAGTTTGATTACAGCACTGCTAGATGCAATTGTAATTAGTGTGACACAGTAGAATACCTAAGGGAGAAATAGCCTTTCCAGAATTCCAGATGTTTCATACAATGTGAGTCAGTGTTATGGTTCTTCTTCCCCAGGAGTAATTGGGGGTGGGCATGGGATGTTTGCTCCCTTCCCTTTCTACTTCGCATTAGGATGCAGTGTAATTGACATTTTAGAGCTGTTACACTTAATGGCTCCTGTCGACGAAAATATATTAATTTAAGAACCTTCAGAAATGCCATTCAAATAAGATCTGTTTCCCATCTTCACACTTCTAAATAATACATTTTTCATCACCTTTACTTGGTATAGCTCTTTTAAATTTGTGCAAATTTTTCTGTCACTTTGTGCCTCCATTCATTTTGGTAATCAGTCTACTTTGAAAGTGAGAAAATCAGGGAGAAAGGGACAGTGGGGGCGCCTGGGTGGCTCAGTTGGTTAAGCGACTGCCTTCGGCTCAGGTCATGATCCCGGAGTCCCAGGATCGAGTCCCACATCGGGCTCCCTGCTCAGCGGGGAGTCTGCTTCTCCCTCTAACCCTACCCCTCTTGCGCGCTCTCTCTCTCACTCTCTCTCTCTCTAATAAATAAATTAAAAAAAAAAAAAAGAAAGGGACAGTGGTTAGTAGAAAGAGCCTTTGGTCTAGGAGAACTGGTTGCTAGTCACACTGATGTGCCTTTGGGCACGTGAGCTTAGTCTTTGAGCCTCAGTTGCCTCATCCATAAAATGGGGATGATCCCTGTCTTGCTCTCATTTTGGACTTAGTGGGAGGCTTAGATGATAAAACATATGAAAATGCTTTTGAACTGTTGTGAGGTCTGTAACAGCAACAGTAAAGACAACTTGACTGCAGGCTTCCAGACAGAAAGAGGCAATGCCAGAATTAGCATCAGTGTACTCCCACTCAGCCTGGCACCACCTTCGCTATTAGCATCTGAAAGGAGTAATTTTTCTTTCCCTTTTCTCATCTTACCTGCTTAATTTAGTTTTAGGTAATAATTTTATTAAGGTTTTAATGCTTGACTTGTTTTATTTATTAAGTATGTTTTCCTTCATTCTGCTTTTCAATCTGGTTAGGAAATTTGTACATAGACTCCAGGCAAAATCTCCCTCCTTCAGTGATGCCGCCCCCTGGTTACCCTCACATCCCACAGGCACTGAGCACTCCAGGAACGACAATTGCAGGTAATTTGGGGTGTGTTGTATTGCAGTTCTTACTCAGAGTGTAATGTTAAAAAGCTTCAGCTGTCCCGGCGTGAGCAAGGCTGTTCAGGAGGGAGTGAGCTCCCTGGTAAGGGAGGATGGAATGACAGTCTGCACAGTTACTTGGCTTCAGTGCTGGGCAAAGAGATTCAAGTGTCACTTGTTGTTTGGACCATATGACCTGAGTCTCTTTGATGCTATGATTCTAATTATTGTCTTGCCTCTCTAGAGAGGTCCCGGGCCATAGAGCTTGTTCTGGGGTCTTAGGTATCTTTGAAGCTTTTTGACTCTGACGGGACTTGAGCAGGCTTCAAGAACCCGCTTTGATTACCTCCTGTATATTCTCCATTCATTCTGCTGACGTCCCCCCAGCTCTAGTTTCTGAGGAAGTCTCTTACAGAGGAGGTAAGTTGCAGGAGTCACGAGTTCATGAACTGTGCCCCCTGGGTTCCTGAATGCAGGATAAGTTACATTTATCAGGGCAGCAAAGGCGGGCACATGGTTAGAGGTGGAAGGTAGCTTAAGGATGATCTAGATGAGGAAGTGCCAGCTCAGGAGTGGAGATAACTTGCCCAGAGCCACCCGTTTTGCTAAGTGACCAAACCAAGACTCAGGTCTTGATATCTGGATTCAGAGTTCGTTGTTGTTCTCATGTACCATACTGCCCTCCACTTAGGCTGCTTGAGGAACAGAAAGGTCATGTGCAGATGTGAATTTAAAACCCCCAAAGAAGTGTGTGCCAGATAGTAGTGAAGGAGGAGTTGGGGCCAAGTGACCTGTTTTTGGATGAACGGGGAGGAGTAAGTGTTATATGTCCTCAGCACTCACCAGGAACTTGTAGGTGGCAAAATATGGTAGTTCAGACTCTGGAACCAGATTCCCAGGGTTTGCATTCTGGTGCTTTGCCACTTGATAGCTGCCTTAACTTCCTAGTCAACCTCCTTGTCTATTAAAGGGAGCTCATAACACTGCCTAACTTCTAGGGTTGTTAAGAGAATTCAGTGAGGATTAGATGTAAATCACTTAAATTAGTGCCTGGTGCATAGTAAGAAATTTATAAGTTAAAAAATAAATAAGCAGGCATTTCTGCTATACTGTGATATATTGAAAACTGTAGTATTTTATAAAATGGTGCATTAAAAATTACAGGGCTTATCAGAAAAATGAGTTTAGCCTCAGGCTGCTTGAAACTTTATAATCAGATCAAGCAAATCAAACAAAACTGCAATAATCCAGTAAAAATTCCACCACATTAAAAGGATATGTTTAATTCCTAATAAAAGAATGAATTCTGCAAATAAATAGAAATTATTACTTAAGAAAAAAGTCTGGTTTGGAAGGGTGTTTGTCAGAGCTTTGGAGACAAGGGCAGAATGCACCAAAATTGGGGAGCACAAGCTGCACACGGCCACAGTAATCTAAGAAGAGGAGTGTGGAGAGGGTGGGCATCCTGTTCTCCACCCTGGTCTACCATGGCCTCCCTGCACTCAGCTGTATTGGTGTTCTGTGTTCACCCACTGTTAACTTGGTGGCCCAAAAGTTAACTTGCTGGTGAGAATTCAGGATGACCCAGTGTGACTTCACTGGTACGCTGACATCATTCTCCCATCACCATTCTCATGGGAGCCAGTTCATGTTACCGAAATATGTATTGATGCAGGACAGACCAAGAGAAAGGGTTGCATCAGCACTCGGGCACTCCAGCGTTCTTTTTATGATGTCCTTGCTGCCTCCTGGTGTAATCAAAACAGGCATGGGTTTTGGAGTCAAGTGAACTGAGTTCAAATCTCTTCCCCTTACTAGCTGTATGACCTTGGGTAACTTGCTCCATTCTCTTAAATCCAAGCCCTGCTATCTATAAAATGAGGATCATAAGAGCCACCTCTGTGAAGGCTTCTGAATGGATTAGGAGATCATGTGCGCCAAATGCCTGGCACAAAGGAAGTGCTCAGTAGGCGTTCATTTATTCCTTTCCTCTCTACCCAAGTCACTACTGACACTGCCTCCTTCCTTCCAGGCCATCACGGAGCCATGAACCAGCAGCACATGATGCCTTCCCCAGCCTTCCAGATGCGGCGCTCTCTGCCTCCAGATGACATCCAGGATGACTTTGATTGGGATTCAATTGTGTAGAGCTTGTTTCTGCAAGGCACCAGACTCCAGCGTCACCTTTCTGTGCAGTGAAGGGAAAGGTTGAAGAGAATCCAGTTGAGAAAACAAAGTTGCTAATCACTTTACCAATGTTGTCAAAATTTCTTTTGAAGACAATCAAAAAGATTTTAGCTGGATAACTTACTGCTTTTATCTGACCCAGACAAGTACTACATGTTTGTCTCCCTGCCAGCTGCCCTGTGTAGCTCCTAACTGTTGTGTGATTTGAACGGCTTTTGCATATTTGTGTCCGTTTGATGTTGACCACAAGTGCCAGACTGATTTTTCAGGCAGAGCCTATTTTGCTGCAAGCAGTTTATAGATACATATGTGTAAATATATGTACAAAAATTACTGAAAGGCTTCAGTTTTTCTAATTGGATTATTACGTCTTGAAAAGAAAGTTACTGTGAGTTTTTATTCCTTCTTAGGCTATTTTCTGCAGGATGCTTTTAACTGATACAGGCAACTGAAAGGAAATAGATTTTTTCAAAGCCCAGTTCCCCTTATTTAATCTTTTTCAGAAATGTGGGTATTGAGTTCTACTCAGTAAGTCAAAGAACCCAGAGTTTGATACTCTCCAAACAATCCAGAGGGGCATGTTTTTCCTGAGCAGCATAAAGAACTGACCAAATTTGTTTTGATGGTTGGGGGATTGCGGAGTTTATGTTGTACTTAGTCAATGTCTGTTTTCCGAAATCTGCATTATAACAGTTCTAAAATGTATTTGATCAGTTAGCAGCTGGGCATTGCTTGGCTCTTTAACAAAATCATTGCCTCCATATTCACTCATGTATTTATTATTTTCAAAAGTATTATTTTAATATTTATTGCTGCCTTCTGTGAATGCTCAGCTCCTGTTGGGTTCATTAAGGAGAAGTGCGGTGTCTGAAAGCACAGAATTGTTTTTCTTAAGAGTTTACAGACAAGACAATCAGAGAGATTGTGTCGTTCTCTTTATCGTCGCTCCTTTTACCATGTGAGTATATTTCTCTATCTTAGCATTCCTGCTGATATGTATTAGCTACATAGGATTTTTCTGGAATTCGAATCAGAGTTCATTTGGGCAATAGAACAACAGGGCACTGTTTATAATGCAAGTTTCCTCACTTATTCTCTTTCCATTTAGGAAGCACTGAAAGGAGGATAGAGCCACACACAGATTTTATTTGCCTTAGTCTTCAGTGCAGATATCCTTAAGTGGTCTGCTGTTTCTTTTGTCCTGTGTGTCTGTGTATGCATGACATTGGGTTACTTTCTTTGAAACTCAGCGTGCCTCGTTGGGGTTTTTATTGTTTTTTTTTGTTTCATCTTGTATCATAGTTACTTTGCATGGATTGATTGTCTTAGTTTTATAATAAAAGTAACAGAAATGAGATTTTTTTTTAAATGAATAGATTTTGAATTGGTTCTTTAGACCATAAAAAAGGCAGAATTTCTTTCAGTTATAATGGGGGAATGATATGTTCCATCAAATCAAGGATTAATAACTGCTCACTGGTTGCTTTTTAGCATCTGTAGTCTCCATCTTTATGCTTTAAATCACTTTAGTTAGCCTTAGTGATAATGTGGTTGAGTGTTCTCTACTTGAACTAAACAGACATCTTTGTTTCTGTATGTGTGTATGTGAGAGTGTTTGTCAACGTGTGTGGGTACTTTTTTTTTTTTTTAATGGAGTGTTGCCTTTAATGAATCACTGGGAAGCCAGCCACAGTAAAGGCTGGTGAGGTTGGGGAGAAAGGAAGGGCTTTATGTTCCTGTTGTTTGGACCCTGCTTGGCATGAAAAAAGAAGCTCAGTTCCAGCCCCTTGGATCAGTGAAAATCCCAAGATTCTGGCAAGGCAGCCAATAGGCCCCTCTTACACAGATCAGAGGCGAGATGAGATAGCAGCCTGCAGAGCAAAAACTTGAAAAAATGGGGGGGAGGGAGGACTTTGAATAGTCTGCTCAAGTCACTGTTTTCTAGATACCAGAATAGCTGTTTTGAAACTTTAAATTGCTTGGGTAGCAATGTGCACTTTAAACAATTTGGGTATTGGAATGCAGTCTTACCTTGAATGATTTGAGTAGAAACCACTGATGAAGATTTTTACAAATTTTGTGAAGCTAATTTCCCATTTGGCAATCATTTACTGATTTGCAGTGATCAATATTTTTATGAGAATTTAAACTTACCACAAATGGCCCTGGAGGCAGAGCCTCCACTAAGACCCATCACACTCCTGTGATGCAGGTGGCCCGGGAGCCCAAGACAGGCCTTCTCAGTGGGCTTTAGCCAGCCAGAGCTACCTGGTGAGGTGCAGAGCATCCCCTCTAGTGGCTGTTTCAGTTGGTAGTTGTTATGCAGAGCAAGTTCTGTTTTGGGCTTAAATTGAAGACTTTTGGGGAAAAGAATAAATGCATATAATCAAACGGGGGTACTCTGTCCAGGAAAATAATCCGACTGGCATTTGTGGCAGTTTTTTGAAATGTAAATGTATTCATGTGTGTTCTTGTAAATAATACGTCTCTCAGATGTCCTTTTGCAGTGGGAGGGAATCGATCCGGGGATTATTTCAAATGGAATAGAGTATTTTGATATTGTTCATTCAGAGGGTGATGTGTACATATCTATATTGTATATATGTGATGAAAATGCATTGGCTTTTTGTGCAAACACAGTCTGCTCTCTGTGCTGCTGTCGGACAGTCAGTGTTTTAATGTTTCTACAATTTTGCTATTGCACGATTTCATATTTTGCCTCTATGATGAACGGCACCCCTTCTTTGTAACTGTTTAGTGCTGTAAAGAAATACCCCAAGTGTCATTAGGATTGTTGCTGCCAGAACTGATATGCATGAATGGCACTTAAAATAAATATATTATGTTAACTCTATTTGTAACACCAGTTGGCCTGTGTCATTTGCTACAATTGAGGGAACAAGATTGGAGCCAGTCCCGACGCAGAAACTTGGAGACAGTCCTTGTGGTCTTGGAGATTGTGTCCCAGGTGTTGCTGCCTTTAGGGATATCTCACTAGCTCTATAAACTTGGGGAACCTACTTAGTTTCTCTGAGCCTCATGTTCCTCATTTGCAGTGTCTTCAAAATGAGGATAATACCTATCTCCTAAGAGTTGTAGTGGGATTAAATTAATGCATTTAAACATTTAGAACAGTAAAAGTGCTCAGCATGTGCCAGGTGCTGTGCTAAGTAGATACTGTTATCTTCGTTTTACAATGTGGTTACAACTCGGAGGTATAGTGGCTTACCCAGATCCTTTATTGGAAGTGACAGAGCTGAGTTTGAATCCAGGTTATTTGATTCCAATATCATGTTCTTTTACACCATCCTCTGTTACTTCCAAGAAATTCCCCTACTCTACCCGCATCCTTGACCCCATTCTTGCCCCCACATGTGCCTGCCCAGAGAGCTACCTCCTAAAGGTGAAAGTGGAGCTTCTTAACGTTTGTTGAACACACGCTCTGTCAGCCTTCCCAGGAGAAAGCCACAACTCCTGCCTTTCGTGAGTGCAGACTTAGCCAGGACAGGCAACAGACACCAGCTCAGGGGCACAGCCCAGGGGAGTTGCTCTGAAGGTGCACCCTGGCAGGCAAGATTCTGGTGGTGAGGAGTTAGGTTATGCTGAGGGCTGAGGCAGTGGTCTAGGAAGGCCTCAGCCTGACATGGGCTACTTAAGTTTGAGTCTTCAGAGGGTCCTGGACAGATAGGAGGTTTTTCCATTTATACCACTGCTATGAGCCAGGCATGAAAGCTAGACTAGCATAGGGGTGGGGATTGAAGCGGAAGAAGTGATGGTTTGCTGGTAAAGAACAAAGCACAGCAATCCTATAAGTGGTGGGGTCCCAACTTCATTGATACAGAAACAGGTCAGAGGCTAAGCACTAGGCAGACCAACAATACAGGTGGAAGTGGACTTGAAGCTGCAGTCTGCCTAACTCGAGGGGGAGGGCTTCCTGCCAATCCCATAATCCTGCCCAGGGCCTCTTGCTACTTCTAACTGAACCCATCCATCACTGCCAGGAAAAGCTATGTATTGCAATTTTACCGCTGGGGAAACTGAGGCTCAAAAAGTTTAACTTGTTTAAGTTCTCACAGCTAATAGAGGACCTGGGATAAATCAATCTGGGTCTGACTTCATGCAAAGCTCATTTCTTTTTACCTCACTGCCTTCCAAAAGGGAGTTTTCCCAAAGCCAGAGGTAATGCCTGTCCACCAGTGTATGTGTGTCTCTCGGAGGGAGGAGCTCTGGTTTTCTGCCGTTACAGGTAAATTTTGGTCATTAGCAGTGCCTCTGAAGGGCTGTAGTAGGGGCATGGTTAAACCCGGTCACTTTGTGCTGATTCAGGCACAGCTGAAGTGCAACTTTGGGCTAATCAAATGAAAAAAGTAGACAAGATCATTAAGATGCATGTTTAATTCTCAAGGCTTTGACATGTTCCAGTGTGCGAAGGGCTGCTATTTATAGATGTGCCCTTACCAGCTGGATAAAGCAGTCCTGTGAAAGCCACATAAGCATCAGTTAGCTAAGGCTTGACTGCATCTTCACTCCCTAGAATCATAACTATCTTGAAGGCTTCAAGCTAAAAGCAGCCTTTGAAATCATCTAAGACAGCTCCTGCATTTTGCTCTTGAGAACACAGACCCAGAGAGGGAAGTGACTTGCTCAAAGTCAGTATCTAGAGGAAGACTTGGGGAAGAGGGGGGAGTGGGGAGTGTCATCTACTTGGCAGGAACCTGATGCTGTGGTCCTGTTACCGCCCCATTTTATGGGAGAGAGGCGGGCACGGTGCAGCTACATCCTGCGTGCGCGCAGTCAGGGCTTTCCAAGGCAGTGGTACACACTCGGCCAAAAAGAGAGGACAAAAATACTGACTGTCCCCCTGTGATGAGCGTGTGCCCCCTTGTGAGTGTGAGGTGGCAGATCCGAACCTGAGACTGTAACTGGTAGCTGCTGCCCTGTGCCGTCCGCGTGAGCACCTGCGTCAGCGCCGAGACTGACTCCGGTGGCTAAAGATGCACATGTTCTGCGCAACAGGGCCTGTGGATACAAGTCAGCTACCTCAGAGGCAGACCAGAACCAAGAAAAACTGGCCACGTTTGCCTTAGTGAGACTTGGCGTCTTTATCCCCAACATGGTACCTTCCGAAAGGGTTTTCGAGTGATTTTGAACTTACCTCCCTATGTGTCTCCTTCCATGTATGACATGTAACCAGTCAGCATGTGCAGAGCGCAGACCTGGGGTGACTGCAGCAGTGCCCTTAAGTAACGGTGGCCCAGCAGTGTAGACTAGGACAGCTACCGTTTATTACTTGTTACTTAATATTACTTCTCCCAGCGCTGTGGAGATGGTATTTACTCTTTAAAACGGCTATGTGGTAGATAGTATTCTCAAACTCATGTTGTAAATGAATCTGAGCCAGAAAGCGGTAAGTCACTTGCCCAGGGTCATCCAGCTCGTAAGTAGTAGAAATGATGGTGGTTATAATAATAGCAGCAGCAGGGACAGCAGAGCTGGGATTTCATGCCTAGGCCACCCAGCCACCCTCTTCACCACAATGTGCTGTCAGTTCCTCGCTGTGTCCGCTGCTGTGGGGCAGAGCACGGGGGCCTTAGAACAAAGCACTGAGGCTGCAGTGAGCACCGGAGGCCACCAGGGGGCACAGGGCTGCCAGCTGTGTGCCTTTCCCATTTCCGAAGGTCGCTTTGCCCACTGGGGGTTGTGCTCCCTTTCTCCACAACCCCCAGGGCTGGGGGCTCCCAAAGACAGGCAGGGAGCCCAGTGGCCAGCCCCCAGAATCTTCTCCCACGTCAGAGGTTGCTAGAGGGAGCCAAGGAGTCCCTATAGTTCTCATCAATGAACATACTGGTGGGACCCACTGCGGTGCTGCCCCTGAGCCTGCTGCTCGCCCCCGTAGGCTCCCAGGGCAGAGCGGGAAAGGGCACCCCACCTCCAACCCCTAACTCTTTGAGTGTCCTGAGGCTCTGCCTTTCTGGGAGCCGCCGATGCTGAGGGCTGGCATCGTTTCGGCAGGTGTGGAGAGGGCTGTGGCTTGGCCATCGGCGTACCTTGCCCTCCCAGCCCTGCCTCAGCCTAAGCAGGCTTTGGTGTCCCCACACACTCACACTCTCCTGCGGCCATCACAAGCATTGTGATCACTGCGGCCACTTACCAGGGCCCCTAGCCAGTACCAGAGCCATTATCTGAATTAACACCCCCAGCTGCTCTGGGGGCTGAGTCGTCTCCCTTTTACCGCCGGATGGTGCTGTTGACAGACGTGAAGCCATCTGCCCAAGGTCACAGCCAGTGAGAGAGGCCGGTGACAGATCAGGAAGCCAGCTGTGCCTCCCTACAGCCTGCTCTTCCCACCGAGGTACGCTGTCTCTTCCACAAAACTCCCCTGTGCCCTTGACCTCCCTCAAGGCTAGTCACCACACCCATCCCGCCCCACCCCACAGGATCCCACCCCAGCGCAGGATCTGAGCTGACGTCACGGAGGGTGAAGATGCCCCTCTCTCAATGCAGGCCCCAAAAGGTCAGTAGGCAACTTCCTGTCCTGGACAATGGCAATAAAGACGTCTGAGGACACTTCCCACCCTTCCCCTGCCTGCTGACGTTCACAGGCCAAGGCCGCCCTGGGAACAGCCCTCTGGTTCCGTGTGAGTGTAAGCACACAAAACTGTGACTCCGGGGCACCTGTAACCCATACCTGGGTGACTAAGGGTGACCACGGATGGCCATGTGACTGATGGTGCCCACGGGGCCTTATGTGTGTGTGTGAGACTATCCGGGAGCGAGCCCTTGGTGTGTGTGCTTGTGTGCTTGTGTATCTGTGTGCTCATCCGTGGCAGCTAGAGAAAGCATGCTGGGGGGGCGGGCGGGGGAGATAACTCCTTGCTCCAATTCTGCCTCCCTCCTCCCTTCTGAGCCTTCTTAGTCACTTGAGTCTCCCCAGGGGCCCACGTCCTGGGGGGGACACTTGCCTGGGAGAGAGCTGGGTTCCCAGGCCCTGTCAGCGTTGGGGACTCTGGGTGCGATACACATGAATCTTCCCCTTTTCTCATCTCGACCCAGCTCCCTACTGATCAGAGCTGGATCCCAGATCTAGCTCTACCTGCTCCTGCCCCCAGGCAGCCCCCACCCTGCCCCACCCAGAGCCGCCAGGCCAGGCCAGAAGCCGGTCCCTCCTGAGCTGCCCGCCTGTGGCCGAGCATATTCCCTGTAGGCCCCAGAGGGCAGAAAAACGCAGCAGTCAATGGAAAGAACACAGACTCTGCTGTCAGAAGAAACTGGAATTCCATCTGGGCAAGACGCTGTCCTCTCTGAGCCTGGGTTTCCTTATCTGTAAAATGGAGATGGAGTGCCTTACGTCGAAGTGTTGAGATCGTCCCCGAGGAGTCAGATGGAAGGCAGCCGGCGCGGGCCCCGGCACATCACGGTCCCCAAGCCTGCCCTGCCCGCTCTGCCTGCCCCCCCTCCTGCACAGGCAGGCTCCCGCCGCCCTCACACTGTCCTCGCCCCCCGGAGCCCTGGCGGGGGTGAGCGCACCCCTGCTGCAGCCACACCCAGGCAGCCCGCTCCCGCCCCTCGTGCCATGGCAGTCTTCGGGGAGCGACGCGCTTCTCCGGGTCTCACCTGCCCTGGCAGGTTTCCCACTGTCCCGAGGTCAAGGGCAGCGTGCCTTAGCCCGGGATTTAAATTCTCCTTCCCTGGCTGTCGCCCACAGCACCTCTTGACACATTCTCGGCAGCAGCAAGCCCCCCCACTCCCCTTCTGTGCTTCCCGCTGCCATGCCTTCGCCCCACAGCCCCCGTCTCTGTGGGTCCAAATCTGCCCGTTGGTCAAGGCCCAGTTCTAACACCACGTCGTCTGGCAAGCATTCTCAGACCTGGCCCCACGGGACCTCTCTGGTGGCTCTCAGTCGACTCCCTCGGGCCTGTGGCCTCCAGGCCATGGGGCCAGGGCTCCAGCTGTGTCTCTTCCCTTCCTGACAGTCTCCAGGGAGGTAGGGGGTCTCCGTGGCCGATGCCCAGAGCAGACCGAGGGCTGGGGGGAGCAGGAGGCAGCTGCTGGTGGACGGAGCGCCACCACGGCCTCATCTTGGCCAGGCCACAGGGATGTGACAGGAAAAGCCAACTGCCCCCTGGAGCCTGGAGGAAGGAGCCTGCCTCCCAGGGCCTAGGGGAGGGGAGGGCACCCTCCAGCCCAGCCTGGACTTGGGTCAAGCCAATAGGCTTCAATCCAACTCAGCAATCATTTTCTGTGTAACATGGGGCACTCTCTTCTGAGAGCCTCTGTTTCCTCCTCTGAAAATGGGCATCATGGACCCGCTTCACAGAGGCTGATGCAGCAGCTGCTCCTTTCTTCTCCCCCTTCCTTAAAGATGGGAGTCTGGGGCCCGGAAGATACTGCAGGACGTATGCACCGAAGTAGCTGTTTAAGGCTTTCCTTGGAATTTGTGAGAACTGGCTTCTGTTCTGGAATTTTCAGCTTTGAGACTGCAGCTGCTGCCAAGTGCACCTGGCTGTGAATGCGAAAAGTTTTGCCTTCCCCTAGGCCTAGGTAGCCACACGGCTTGCGTCCACACTGATCCTCTCTCTTGGCTGGGTGCCCTGGGCAGTGCGCTACCAATACAACTGTACCTGGCTCCTGTGTATTATGCGCCCTTGGGAAAGTCATGGTCTCTTAAGCTCTCTGGGCTTCTGAGCGTCAGTTTAGCCATCGATAAAATGGGGTTCTACAGTTACTTCTTACATATTCACACACACTGCAAGTCTTCCTCAGGTAGTTCTGGGCTCTTAGAGGAACCAGAGCTTGTTACACCCTCCAGGACACGTTTATGAGCAGGATGGGGAGGCTGTGAGATGTGAGCCACACCCTCCCTCCTCAAGGTCACACAGGGCAGCATGGAAGTCTCTAGACTCCCACCTGGGCTCCATACCGGGGCCTTTCCTGCTGGGGTCAGCTGGGGCCTCAGGCCCGCCGGGAAGCAGAGCCCAGCCTGGCGGGGACGGGGCTGCGGTGGACACAACTTTAACGTGCATGCTGGAACCACGCCGAGGTCACGCAAACCCGAGAATTAACTTCTGGGCTGAAAGGAATAGCATGAGGCATCTTCAGAGAGACCTGAGCCCCCTCCCGCCACGACAGCTGCCGGTGCTGGGGAGGGGTGGCCTGTTTCCACACTGTAAAGCACTCGATCCATAGTGAGTGTTAGGATTATTGCAAATAGCACGACCTTCCTGATGCCCTAAGGGCTCAGGGGCACCCACTAAGTGCCGGGCCTGTATGAGTACTGGGGTCGCGATGGAGAATGCCACAGGCTCTCCTTTCAGGAACTCAGAGGAAAGCGGGCAAGACAGACAGTTTGGCAAGGTTTCCAGTGGGAACTTGTCGGTGGAGCCCAGAGGAGGTGGAGAGGGCCTTAAGCCAGGCTTGCTGGAGCTGGGCGTCAGGAAACTTTTCTAGACAATCTGAAATGCACAATGTAGTTCTTGTCTCCCTTTTTCAGATGTAGAAACAGAGTCTGGGAAAGGCCACACAGCTGTTCCCTGAAGGAGCCGGGACTCTGACCCAGGGCTGCCCCGTTTCAAAGCTGGGGCTCTGTCACCTACAGCAGATCCGGGCCCTTCTTCCCGATTCACTCCTAGGGGCGCTTTGGGGATCCTGATTTGAAGCGTGAGCAGAGGCTGACCATGAAGGGCCTTGAATGCCAGGCCAAGGAGTCTGGGCTTTCTTCTGAAGGTCTGGGGCTGCTGCTGGTGAGTTTTCAGGTGGGGCAGCAGGTCGAAGAGGTGGCACAGCCTGGAAGGCTCCAGAGCTTGCCAGAAGGGATGGCCTTGGATGTGGGAAGCCCAGCAATCCCAGCCCCACCTGCTGCCCATAGGAATGAAGAGGGGTGTGAGGGTCCTGGGGACCAATGTCTCAGGACTTAGGTGTGGACCTGGGGTTCTGGAAGGGCCCCCGCCGCTTCAACACAGGAGCGCAAGGAGGGGGCCTGAACTCAACCTGGGCAGGGGCTGGGCCAGGAACTGTGAGGATACGGGAAGGGGAGTTGGTTCCCATTTCCCAGGGCAGACGTCAGAAGTGGTTAGTAGGGCAGGGCCCAAAGGTCTGAGGCCTAGGAGCCATTTCCTCTTTCCCACAGCATGAACTACATCACTCCCGCAACACCCCCCACCCCAACCCGTTCCAGTTCTACCTTGTACCAGGTAGGCCCTGGCTAGGAGGCTAGGGGAGAAGGAGGCTTTAGGAACCAAAGCCCCTCCAGTCCCTCTGTACCTGGGGAGGGGAAAGACTGAAAACCAAAGCCAGCCAGAAACAGGGCTCTTCCAGCGCACAGCAGCCCCACCCAAGCCCCCTCCTTGACGCTCAACTACATTTCATTTCGCTTGAGCCCCATACTGATCCAACCTTGATCCTGAACCCAATCCTAACCAGCCTCCACATCATTTGCAATCCCAACATCAACCCAATCCCAGCGGCTCCCCATTCCAAACCTAACCCTGACATCCCCTCCTGCCCTCAGCTCCATTCTAACCCTGCCCCAGACTCAAACCCCACTTTGAGTCCTGTTTTGAACTCCTACCACTAACCGCTCCTCCATCTTGCCCCAGCTTAGCCCCAACCCCAACCCAGAACCTCAGGCTGACCCTAACCAGCTTTCACCCTAACCCAGCTCGACTCCACCCACCCCAGTTCAGTGCCAGGGCCAACCTCAACTGTACTCCAGATCTGTACCTGGTGTTCACCTCCATCCCAATCACAGCAAACTCTACCCTTACGCAAAACGTCTAGCCTCACCTTCAACCTGGACTCCATCCATAACCCTCCCAGAGCCTATCCAGTTCCCCCGACCCACTCCGGTGCACACTCCCACCCAGCGCTCAGTGAGCAGAGGCCACCATGTGGCTGGACTGGACGCGCACACACATCCTTCAGCATGTGTGCACACATAGACACACACACAGAGACACACAGACACACACACACACACACGCAGGAGAGGGGAGGGAAGTCCAGTCCAGCTGGCCTGGGAGGGCAGGTAGGGCAAGTGTTTCCTGCCCCCCCCCCACCTCCCCCACCCCCCGCCTTGGGCCAGACCCCTTTGTAGTTTCCTGCCTGTCAGGTTCTGCTCCTCCAGTCCCTTCTTCAATACTTACTCTCTCCATCCAGGGATTCCTGCCCCTGTAGCCTTCCTGAAAGCTGTCCTGGCTTCGGGCCTGGCTTGTTTGTAGATTAGAACAATGGAGCGCTGAGGGCTTTCCTTCTTCTGTGTCCTGGGGGCCTTGCTCACGAGAGAACACGAGGAACACCCACTGAGCCAGAGGGTCCGAGTCTAGAGGGACAGAAACACACACCCAAGTAATCCTACCCAACAAGACCCCGGGGGTGGGGGGGCGGAATGTATCTGGTTCTACGGGAACTTAGGTTATTTTGCTGGGGACGCAGTGGAGGTTATTTGGTCTGGGCCTTCAAGTTTGAGTAGGAGTTTACCTAGTGACAAGGATGGAAAAGCCTTCCAGGCAGATAAAACAGCATTTTCAAAGGCAGGGAAGCCTGTTCAGGAAGGGCGGGGGAGGTGAGCCTGGTGAGAAAGGTCAGGATGGGGATATTAGGCTGGTCTAGTTGGGGAAGAAGGGAAGCAGAAGGGGAGGGCACACATGGGGGGTGGTAGTTGGAAGGCAGAAACAGGACTGAGGAGGTTAGGGGAGCAGGGGCTAGGGTATCGGGAGGGAGAGGGGAGGAGTTCATTCTAGGACGATCTGACGCTGAAGGACAGGCAAGGTCAGCACAAGATGAGGACAGGCTGTGGCTCAGATGGGCAAGTGGTCACCAGAGGGGTCAACGGGGACCAGAAGCTGCTGCTGCTATTGATAAAAATAATAATAATGGGAAGACCTTCACCGAGTGCCTTCTGTGTGCCAGGCACTGAGCTAAGCATCTTTACAACATCTCTAATCCTCAGAATAAGCCCACAAGGTAGGTGTTATTAGTAGTATTGATCCACAAGGGGCGCTGAGGCTCGGAGAGGAAAAACAATTTGCCCAAGTTCACACACATTAAAATCATGCAGTGCAGGTAGCACTTGAACCCAGGCCCGCGGGACAGCAGAGCTGAGTCCTTCCTTAAAGTCATAGTGGCCAAACCTAGTACCTACCTTGGTCCACAACTCATCTCTCAGCATGTGAAGCCCCCTTGTACCCCCCTCTTCCCCTAGGCTGAACTACGCACATTCCCTGAACATTCCAGGCCTGTTTACCTCCTGCTTGTTCCACATGTAGCGTCCTTTGCAAGAAAGGGCCTCTCCCTGGCCCCTTTTCTAAGAAAATTCCACCCATTCTCCAGAACTCAGTGCTGACACAACCTCCTTTGGGAAAGCCTCCTGAACTCCCTGCCCCTGGGCTGGGTGGGATGGCTCCTCCATCCACGCCCCAACCCCCACTCCCCTAATCACCCTGCATTGCCCCAGTCTGGGCCTCCCTCCTTAAGGGCTGGGCTGGGTCTGCAGCCCCACCCCGGCTCAGGGCCTGGCCTAGAGCAGGCCTCAGTGAGTGTGTGTGGCTGGTGAACGGACACAGGACCTAGCCTGGCTGGGGGTTAAACTGGGAGCCCAGGGAGGGGCAGGGGCTCTCCGCAAGGCTCCCGGGACTGATCTCTTATCTTCCAGGGCTGTCTCGAGCCTTATCTGATTAGGCCTGAGTTGACAGGCTAGCCCTGAGTTGACAGGCTAGCTGATGAGATGCTGATAGGGCTTCCTGGTTACTCAGTAACCCTGCCCTCGTTAAAAGTCCCACTGTTCCCTCTGGCATCCAGAACCAACCGTTCCTCCCTCTTGGGCTCTGCTGCCATGAATACCTTCCTGCTCTCTGCACTGTGCCTCCTTGGGACCTGGGCTGTCCTGGCAGGGGGAGTCACCGTGCAGGTAAATCCTCTGTCCCTCCCTTGGCCCAGCTCTCTGCCCCCAGTGCCCAGGGCCTGTCCCCGGAGAGAGCACCCCCTCCTTAGGGCTGGAGCAGGGCTGTGTCTCAGGTGTGGCACTTTCTCAGGAACCCGTCCCTCAGCCCTGCCTCATACCCCTTCCCCTTCAAACTTGGAGAGAAGAGAACCATTTGGGAAAGGGAGGTGATTAGCCAATTTACTGAGTGCTTGCCATGAGCCAGGCTCCTCAAGTGAGGCCCCACGCTCACACTGCGAAAATAAGATTATTAATCCCATTTTTCGGAGCTGGAAAACAGCCTCAGAGAAGTTCTGTAACTGGCCCTAGGCACATGGCTGGGAAGTGAAGGAGCTAGATTCAATTCTAGACTTTACTCCTCAGTCCTGTCCCCAGCCAGAGACCAGACCTGGGTCTTGGGAATCATGCGGACATCCTGGGCAGGCTGCAGCCTGACCTCACACGCTGGACATGTCTCTCTCAGGATGGAAAGTTCTCTTTTCCCCTGGAGTCGGTGAAGAAGCTCAAGGACCTCCGGGAGCTCCAGGAGCCCAGCACCTGGAAGAGCAGGAAGAGTGGTGGGCCCGTGGTTCCCCAAGTCTGCAGCCACCTGAAGTTTCCGGAAGAACTCAAGCCTCTCTGCAAGGAGACCAATGCCCAGGAGATCCTCCATAGGCTGGGTGAGTAGCCTCCTCTCTGGAGGGTGGGGCCTGGGAACTCCCTGATTGGTGGCCCAGGAGGGGGAGGTGTGCTCTGATTGGTGGGTCTGCTGAACCTGCTGGAAGTAGTTCTAAGTTGTAATTGGCGAAGGTTACTTTTGAAAGATCCTCGCTCTGACCGATGACTGGTTGGGAGTTCTGCGCCGCGGGCCGTCTGGCCTTGCTATTGCTCCTTCTGGGTGGAATCCCCACTCTGACTGGCTGGCTTGAGCGGTACCTGTTGGGAGCGGAAAGACCAGCGGGTGGGAGGGGACAGGCCCGGGTTTCTCCTGGGGCCTCAGTGGCAGACGTCCAAGCTCTGGTGCAAGGGAAGCGGGGGGCTCTGACTCTCCCGGCACCCCATCTCTCCTGCGCAGAGGCCATCGCCGAGGACCCGGGATCGTGCGAGATCTGTGCCTTCGCGGCCTGTGCCGGATGCTAGGACACAGGCCTCCTGGCCCTCCCCCGCGGGATGCTCGGCCGGGCCTCCAGGGGAGGAGTGAGGAGGGGGTGGCCTGGGGCGGCCTAGCCCCTGACCCATCCGAGTTGCCGGCGCTTCCCAAGATCCACTGCAGCCCTCAGCTAATAAACCAGTTGCCAGAGTCCTTCTGATGTCGCTTCCTTCCTGCCTGCCTTTGTCAGTGGACTGGTCAGCCAGCTTTATAAGGGTGCCTGCCCTGCCCCGGCAAGCTCGGAGTTGAGTGTGTGCTTCCGGCTGTTAAGCTGCCACGGCCCTGGGGCTGCCACCCCACACAGGCACCCAGGGGACCTCAACCTCCAGACCGCCCGTGGGGGAGGAAAACCTCTGCTTTTCCTTCCCAGCTCTGCGGGAGGGGGAGAACCCCAGAGCCGCTACGCCATGACCATGAGTGAGCACAGGAGTCTGTGCCGGCTTGGTGTCCCTCACATAGCTGGGGCGGTGGACACATAGCTGGGGCGCCCATGAGACTGGCCCGGGGCTCTGGAGCGTTCAAGGTCCCTCAGGCCCTGCCCCTCCACCCCCACGGCAGTGTAGCCTCCTGCCCTCCTCGAGGGGACCACACCTCCAGCCCCAACCCTCACCACTTCCTCAGCTCCCCTCGCCTGTGCTCTGCTCCTCTTCCCACACTCCTGGCCCGAGAAACTCCCACTGAGGCTCCAAGGCTGTGCTCCCACGGCCTCTCAGGAGCCTCTCCCTCGCAGGAGTCTTCGTGCTCCCACTCTGTCCCCGGTGCTCTGTGGGCACTTTGATCAGCCCCGCTGGGCTGTACTGGCTTCTGTGACCCCCGGAGCGGGGAAAACCCACCACACCGATGATGCCCGAGGATACGACCCAGGGCGGGGGAAAGCCGGAGCTACACAGGCTGGCCTCAGGTCTTGCACATACTTTGCCTCTCTGTGCCTCAGTGTCCTCCCCTGTAAAACTGGGACTGTGATGTAGCTGCCTCCCAGGCTGGGTGAAATAATGCTGCAAAGGTGTATGTCATGCACATCAAGTTCAGGCCATGCGCAGGGAATCGATAAATGGTAAAAACAAACCAGAAGATGGGGAAAGAGGGTCAAGCTGAGACCGGTTCAGACAGGGGCAAGGAGTTGAGGCACGGAGGGCTGTTTGTTAGCAAAGTTAGAGGGAATGTGAAAAGACGAGGTGACCAGGGCATTTCTTGGGGAGTTGGCTGGAGGGGAAGTGCCACAGGGTGATTCAGGCAGAATTCCTTGGGCTGCAGAATTCAGAGGGTGAGGCGTCTTTAGGGCCAGGCCAGAAGAGGCTTTGTGAAGGGGGAGGGGAGGCAGGCATTTGCATTCGTGCTTAGGATGTGCACTGGGGTGGATGGATGATCAAAACCAATCTGGAGGTAGGGAGGCAGAGGGCATTCCAGAAGGTGGCGTAGGTGCTGAATGGCGAAGGTCCGAGGCACTGGCAGCGTCCGGTCAGGACAGGGTGGGTCCTGGGAGGCACACAGGGCTGGGTTTGAACCTGCCCATGTTACTTACAAGTTGTGAACCCCTCTCTGAGACTTGGTTTCCTCATCCGACAATGAGGATGCGAACGGACCCCACCGCCCAGGGTTGCAGGGGGATTTGATGAGATGCAGGGTAGGACAGGGTCATTCAGCGCTCCCACTCCGGACCTGGACTCTGGGGCTGGATCCTGGCTCTGCCTATTACCAGCTGTGTGACTGTGGCCGGCGCTCAGCCTCTTCTCCCCTCAGGCTCCTTGTCTGTAAAACGGGGATGACGAGAATCCCTACTTTGTAGGGTTGAGCGAGGATTAAATGAGGCGACACAGGAAAAGCTCGAAGAGCCCTGCCGAGCCCATAGCGGGCCCTCTTGCTACTGCTGCTCTTACTATTTCTGTGTAGGTGGCTCAGCCTGAGCCTGGCACTCGTGCTCCGACAGAGACAGTTCTCTTCCCTGCCTCATCCGCAGGCAGGTGGGGACCCAGCGTAGCTGAGGGGAGCAGTGGGAGCCGAGGCCAGCTGGTGCTGGGGCTCAGTTTAGACACGAGAGGGGGCACTGGGGATCCACAGAAGGCTAAGGGGCCCCGTTGGGGCCGTGCTGCCGTGTTCCTCTGGCATGCTGGCCCGAGAGACACAGGAGGACTACGAAGGCCCCAGCCAGCCTTGTCTGCGGGGCGAGGGAGAGGAAGGAACTAGAGCTCTGGGGTCTGTGGCCTGTCGGAGTGGGAGGCTGCAGAGCTCATGAGCAGAACTGAGCAGCCGGGAGCAGCGGCTGGTCTGGGGGAGTTCGCCATGGCCTTGGCCCTGGGTGAGCAGAGTTCAGAGACCACGGCGCCTTGGTGCCTGGCACTCCTCTCTGGCTGCCCGGGACAGCGGCTCTGGAGGAACCCAGCCTGTGGAAAGGCCCAGGAGTTGGCCGCAGCTGTGAGAACGCAGGGGCCCCTCTGGTAGGCATCTCGGTGTGGCCCGAGCCACAGGGAGGCCGTAACATGGTGGTTCAGAGTGTGGGCTCTGGCCCAGCCTGCCTGGGAAGAAGCCCATTTTGCCACTTTGCTGAGGCTGTGATCCTGGACTAGCTCGTTCTCTCTCTGTACCTGGGTCTCTATATTTGTAAAGTGGAGTGGTTATTGAACAGTACCTGCTTCATTAGACCGTTTCGAGGACTCAGTGAGTTTAGAATAGGGCCTAGGGTACAGCAAATCCTCAATAGACTTTTAATTTTTTAAAAATTTTATTTATTTGTGAGAGGGAGAGATAGCGAGTGAGAGCACACAAGGAGGGGGAGTGGGATAGAGAGAAGCAGCCTCCCTGCTAAGAGGGGAGCACGACACAGGACTCGATCCCAGGACCCCGGGATAATGACCCGAGCCGAAGGTGGATGCTTAACCGACTGAGCCACCCAGGCGCCCTGACATTGATTATTATTATTCCTCAGGGCTGCCAGGACAGAGAGAGGGAAGAAAGGTCTGGAGCTGGCCTGATGGTCCTGGGGAGCCTGAGAAGGGAGGAGCTCAGGAAGGTGAGGGTGAAGGCCCAGGCCCATCTTCTCAGGAGCCCTGGGGCAGAGGCAGCCCAGACACCCAGCCTGGGAGGGGGCACCAAGTTGTTCTTCCCTGCGCGCACCCACCAGGGCAGCCCCACCTCCCAGGGGAAGCATAGCAGCCCTGGCTCTGTCGCTGGGCCAGGCCTGGAGCTCGGCTTGCAGGGTCAGATGGGTCCGGTCACTCTGCAGCGTCTTAGCTCTGTGATTTGGGGGGACTCATTCCATGCCCCCCGTCAGCCTCCCTCCTCCTATGTGAAATAGGGCTTGCTGATCCACCTCCGCAGGTGCTGGAAACTGGGAAGCTCCTGACTGTATCCTGAGATCAGCCTTTCTCCTCACATACCAGCTTCCCAAGCCCCTCTGCCCGGGGCTCCCGGGGATGGACATAGGGTCTCCAGACTCTGGGTGTAGGTAGGTGGGGCATCCTTTTTGGGCAGCAGGGCTACCTCAGGGACCAAACTCCCCTCCAACCATGTGTCCAACCGCTTCGTGCCACGTCCAGCTGCTCGGTCCTCTGGCCAGTGGTGCTGATGCGCTCAGGGGCCCCACTGGGGCTCGGACGGGGCAGTGGGGGGCTGATGCGGGCTGGGAAGGTAGCGGGCTGGGGGCGGTGTCCGAGTGGGCTCAGGGCAGCCAGTCGCCTCAGAGGCAGCCGGTGCAGGCGACATTCACGCACAGCTCGCAGTCGTCCTTAGCGATGCTCTCTGGGCAGGGGAGAAATCCGGTCAGCAGCTGACCGTGAGGCACTGGGGCGCTGGGGAGCTGCATCTCCAGGGGCTGGGGGGGTGGGGGAGGTCTAGCACCAGCATCTGTCTCACAGGTCAGGAGCCTGATGCTTCAGGAGCAGAGGGCAGCTCGGGGGCGAGTCCCAGGCCCCCCTGCTTCTCTGTGCCTGGGCCAGCCCCTTACACCCTGGGGGCTGGGGGTATTCCTGTTGGCTCTCTCGGGGGGACAGGGGGCCGGGCACTTCGAGGGTGCCACATTTGCTGGCCAGCTCTGCTTCCTCCCTCATGTTTCGGCTTAGATGTCACCTCCTCTGGGAACTCTTTCAGACCCCTTATGCCACCCCAGACGTGAGCCATCTCTCCTCGGGCCCCTGTACTTCCCCCATGCCCCCCGTATTGCAGTCCTTGCTTATGGGGCCCTGGCCCAGAGCCCCCTTCCCTCCCATCTGTGAAGTCCGCTAGGATGATCAACGGTCCGGGGTGCCAGGGACCGAGGGGGTCCTGGCATGCCTGACTTGCAGTGCCCAGACAGTGAAGGCCAGAGGCTAAGCTTCTTGACTCTCCCTGTCCCAGCCACTGGGTGCTTACTAGAAGGAACATGAAGTGGCAGAGCTGGGGGGTGGGGAGGAGAGCGAGTGAGGGGCAGGAACTCACTCAAGGCCTGGAAGATGCTGGCAGCTTCCTTGGATGCGCAGACCGGCTGGAGGTCCGGCGGCAGGGCTGGGTGGTGACACATGGAGGGCACAAAGCTCTGGGTCTGGAGGCGGGGGTTGGGCCCCCACTGCCCCTCCAGGTCACTCAGCTTCTTCACTGATTCCAGCTGGACCTGGAAGCCTTGGTGCTAGGGGGCCGGAGGGGACAGGAGATGAGAGGGTATGAAAACCTGGGCCAGGACGCCAGAGCTCCTCAGGCTCCGCAGAGCCTTCCCTGTTCTCACGAAGGGTCCTGGGACGGGGGACAGCCTGGGAGGGGGGAGCTGGTGCCACAGGCCCCCAGTAACTGTACATGAGGTTGCAGCGAGGCTGGGGAGCAAGTGATTCAAGGTATGAGCTTTGCAGACCGGTGAACCCCAGTTCAAATCCCAACTCTTCGCAATTGGCCGCCTGTATCTTCCACACTCGGAGCCTCATCTGACGAATGAGCCTCCCTAGTGCCTGGCACCGGGGCCACACTCGGTAACTGGGTGATCACCCCTGAACTGGACATGGCAAAATGACCACCCCCAAGCTGGCTGGTTCCAAGGCCAGGGCTGCAGGGGGAAGCTGCCTCTCCTCCACCCCTGACAAGGAGGCCCCACCGAGAGTCAGAAATGTGACGGACACTCGGGGCCACAGACTTCCCCATCCTTGCTGGCCAGTGGCATCCTGCCACCCCACAGGAAGGCCCTGGAAGGAGCCCAGGCCCCCTGCTGTCTTCACTCTGAGCCTTTGTGTAGACTGTGCCCTCTGCCCGAGCAGTCCACACCCTCTGTGCCTGGCTGCCTCCTGCTCAGCCTGCAAGGTCAGCTCAGTTACCCGCCAGGGAAACTTTCTAGTGACTATCCCCCATCCACCCGTATGTGGGTGAATGTAGAGAGCTGGGGGAAGACCCCTCTCCTCCGGGGCTCCTTAAGGGCGGGGACCACGTCTTGTTCCAGCTTCTGACCTCTGACCAGGACCTGCCTTCTGAGAGGGCAGTGCTGACTAGCAGAGGTTTTGTTATTGCTATCATCACCTTCGTCATTGCCATTGGCACTCTGGCTGCCCCCACCCACCAGCTGTCTTGGTCCCCGGGTTGTGATTAGGTGTTGGGGTGAGCCCTGGGCACTTGCTCCCCTGTATCCCATGACTTTCCTAGCGTTCCCTCTCCATCCCAGCCTCTCCCCCGCCGGGGACCTTCAGGCAAAGGGCTCGTGGCCGAAGGGACTCACCCGAATGTAGACTGAGCGTGCGTCCTGCAGCAGCAGGAGGAGGACCACCGAGGACAGGAGCCCTGACACCGGGCTGCCGCGCATCTTGCTCCGTCTGTATCCTACTGCCACTGTTCACCAGCTCCCACCCACTTCCCCCACGAGGAGCTCTTTATAGACCAGGCTCCAGTGCCCTGATCACTCATTAACTGGCCAGCTGGGGTGGGGTTGACAGCTGGATGGCCCTTTGACAAGCCCCAAGCCCATTCCCAGGAAGGGGACTGGGGTGATAAGGGCAGGGAGTCCCAGAGCCTCCTCTACATAGGAAGAGATACTGTGTGGCAGGCACCTGGGGGGAGGGAGGCTCTCTGGGAGGGCCGTGGACACACCACTCAACCTTAGCTCCAGAAGACACCTATTCAAGTAGAAGGATGGAGAGACCATTCTACAGACAGGGAAAATGAGTCTCAAGAGGTGAAGTAACTTGCCCTAGGTCACCAAGCTAGTCGATGGCAGAGTAGGGACTCGAGTGTCTTTGACTCAGGTCAGCCCATGGTCCTTTCTCCACAGCCTTGGAGACAGATGGACTTGGGCTCAAATCCTGGTCCTTCTGCCTCTGTGTGAGTTTGGACAAGTCACACCAACTCCGACTGATCCTGTTTTGCCCTTCCATCAAGTGGGCATAATGACAGAATCTGCCGTGGGAGGTTGCTGTGAGAATGACGGGGCCAGGCCCACTTGAGTTCCCCGGTAACTCGAGCTCCTTAATCTCCCTCTAGGCAATGCCTAACCCACTACCCCAATGGCTGATCGTCGATTGGAGAGAAGAGGGCAAAGTCCCCAAGGGCGTTATCACCACCGCCACCCAGCAGCTGTAAACAGTGCTCCAGCCAGGGCTCACCTCTGCTGGACAGGGAGCCTGGCATGTGACGGTCACCCCACTCATGACATTAAATTGAGGCCCAAATGGCCCAGCGAGGCTCACTCTCCAACCTGTAGCTAAAATTTGACATCATCACATGCCCTAATCCCTACTTGCCCACACTTTTGCTGATGCATTCCACCTGCCTGAAATGCCCATCACCCCCTTTTTCTTATCTTGGGATGGATGGAAAAGGGCTTGGGCGAGCCCTGGCATTTCCTATGTCTTGCTTTGAATCCAGATTTCAGCCTTTACTCTAGAGTGTGAAGGAATTAATGGACTCTTCCATGCTTTTTCACCTGTAAACTGAAAATAATCGGTAACAATAGCTTTCATTTCTTGAACATGCACTGTAAGCGAGCTAAGCGCAGTGCTCATGCACGTGAGCGTGATTCCATCTAATCCCCTAGGAGAGGTGTAATGGTGGTCTCCATTTTCCAGACGAGTAACCCAAGGCCCAACCAGGTCAAGCACTATGTAAGAGGGGGCAGCAGGCTTTGTCTCTGGAATTCTTGCATCTGTTCAGCTGACTGAAAAAGGAACCTGGGCCTTGGAGGCACAAAGATCTCAGCGCTTCTCAACCGTGTGACTTTGGGTACCTTACGTAGCTTCTCTGAGCCTCTGTTTCTTCATCAGGAAGTGGAGGAAATCATGGACAGTTTCGTAGTGGTTGTTGTGAGGAAACACTAACCAGGCCCGTCCCAGGGGAGCCCGTGACTCTCCCTGTCCCCAAGCTGACCATTTCCCCAGCTAGCATCTGTCCGTGGCGGCCACACAGTCCGTGGAGGCGCCTCTGCCTCTCCTTCTCCAGGGAACTCTCTGTGACAAGCCCCATTTCTGAACCTACAGCTGAACAGTTCTGATCTTTAACTCCCACATCCTTGCTCTTTCAACCAGAGCAACCTCAGCCCCACTGGCCCTCCAGGAAGGGAGAGGAACGAACCCACAGGGTCTGGAGGCCCCTCTTTCTCTTCTCTGCCTTCCGGCCCCTCCAGCCCGTCGTGTGTTACTCTTTTCCTGGGAATAAGTTGTGACTTCCCTATCTGCTTAACGTGACTCAAATTCCTATTTCAGCCCACCTCCTCCTAATCACTTCATGAATGACCCACCATCCATCAAAACTGAGTCACAGGTGCAAACCCACGCTGCCGCCCCCATTCAGCCAGGGTGCTCTGACGTTTCCCAGGGAGCTCTGATTGGGAAGCTCTGACCATCACACCAGCCTGGATTCTGGTCTCTGTGTGGAAGTTTCAAATGCCACAGTAGAGTGAGTGACCGTTCGCCTGTGTGTGTGTGTGTGTGTGTGTGTGTGTTCGGGCGTTCCGCTCTCCAAACCCAGCTCCCCGCCCAGGGCCCACCACCGCAGAGCCCCGGCACCTGTGACCCTCCCTGCACCTAAATGGACCACTTCTCGAGCAGCATTTGTCACAGCCGACCACTCTGTTTCTCTTGGAATAAAGCATTTTCTCCACTTGCCTTCTGGGACGCACGCTCTCCAATCTCATTGGCTCATCTCCTTGGGCTTCTCTGTGGGTTGTCCCTTCTCTTTTTGACCTCTAGACCTCAGAATGCTCCCGGGGCTCCAGCGCTCAGTCCTGGGACCACTCTTCTGTGTCTGGTCACCAGTGATCTTATCCCGTCTCAGGGACTTCAATGCCATCAGTTCCTGATTCTCCCCCTAACCTGACCTCTCCCCTCAATTCCAGACTCCTTTATTTACCAGCTCAGCATCTCCCATAACAGTCAATAGTAAAACCAGTCACACTGTTGCTCAGGCCGAAAATCTGAGAGTCATTCTTGATCCCTTTTTTTTTTTTAATTTGCCAAATTCAATTCATTGGCAAATCCAGTTGGCTCTATCTTTAAAATATATCTAGACTTTAATCATGACTCACCATCTCCACTGCTACCCAAGGTCCAATAGTAGAGTGAGTCTCTGATCGTTAATTTCATGGATTATTTCATGGATTATTACAACAGCCTTGTATTAGTCAGAATTTTCCAGAGAAACAAAACCAATGTAGAATATATATAACATCTGCTACTTTCCCAGAATTCATCTTGTCAAGGTCACCAGCCACTTCCAGGTTGCCAAACCCCGGGGGCAGTTCTGGGTCTTCAACCTACCAGAGCTAACTACAGCCTTTGACCCAGGAAATCATGTGCTGGTTTCTGAAACACTTTCCCCATTTGGCTTTGAAGACACAGCTCTGGAACTGGGCTCTTATCTACTACTGCTCCTTCTCCTTCTGCTGTGCTGGTTCCTGCCTCTCTGCCTTACCTCCAAATGTCACAGTGCCCTCTTATGGTTCTGTCTTGGGACATCTCCTCTCTTCCATCCAGTCACTCCCTCAATCCAGTGTCAGAGCTCAATGAATCATGTACTCCCTGATGATTTTACATATATATAATTTATGTCTCATCATTCATTTCTTTCTTCTACCTACCTACCTATCATCTATCTATCAATCATCTAATCTATGCCTATCTATCTAGATTTATTTTAAGAAATTGGCTTATTTAATTGTGGGGCTGGCAAGTCTGAAATCTGTAGGGCAGAGTGCAGACTGGTGGGCTGGAAATTCAGGTAAGAGTTGATGTTGCGTTCTTGAGTCTTAGATCTGTAAGGCAGGCCAGCAGGTGGCAAATGCAGATAGGGTCTTTATGTTGTGATCTTGGGGCAGAATTTCCTCTTCTTTGGGAAACCTCAGTCTTTGCTCTTAAGGCCTTCAACTAATTGGGTGAAGCCCATCCACATTATTCACTCAAAGTCTGCTGATTATAAATGTTAATCATACCTGAAAAATTACCTTCACAGCAACATCCAGACTGTTGTTTGACCAAACAACTGTGCACCATAGCCTGGTCAAGAGAGACTTTCAACCAGGTCTCTCTGTATCCACCCTTGCCCCTCTTCAGGAGCCTTCTCCACACACAGCCAGAGTGATCTTATCACAATCTAAGTCACACCATGTCCCTCCTCTGCTCTAATCTGCTAACAGCTTCCTACTTTACTCAGGGTAAATCCAAAGGCTTCCACTGTTCTACAAAGTCCCTTTGGCACCCCTCCAAAAATTTTGACCTTATCTCCAAGGAGTCTGCTCTTCACTCTCTGGGTTCTGGCCACACTAGCTTCCTTGGTGTCACCCAAACATGCCGAAGTTTGCTTACTTCGGGGTCTTTACTCTTCTCCCACATTTATATGGCTCACCTGTCACTTCATCCAGGTATCTGCTCAAATGCCACTTCCCCAAAGAGCTTTTTCTGGCCATCCTACCTTGTTTCCTTGCTTTCTTGTAGCACTGGTCCTAGGTATACATTTCGTTTCTTGCATTTCCCTCCCCTACTAGATTGTAAGCTCTATTAGAGTAAAGGATTTGTCTATTTTGTTCTCCCAAAACAATATCTGGCACGTAGCTGGGGCTCAACCAATAGCTGATGAGTTGAGTGAATGAATGTGTTGGAAATACTGACTCCAGGAACCCCTAGATGTTTGGTCTGGACAGTTTCCTACTTCTCTGAGCCTCATTCATCACATCTAGCATGTAAGGGGCCTGGCCCATGCTGTGTGTTCAAAAATACTGGTTATTATTCTTTTCATAGTTGTGAAATCATTTGTTTACCAAGAAACACAATCCTTTTTGTGTCTTAGGTTCATAGCAAACTCTAAGGCATTCGATAACTTGACACATATTTACTGGTGGCCTACCATGTGACAAGCACCATTCTAGGCACAAGAGATGCAGCAACCAGTGAAATGGACAAAGTCACTGCCCACCACACCATACTGGTGGCTCGGACAGGGAGTCGGAATCGAGATGTGAGCAGGCGTTCAATTCTAGAGATTCTTTGAAGTTGGAGCCACAGGATTATTTTGTTACCTTGGATGTCAAGGGTGAATGAAGAGAGGAGTCAAAGACAACTCTAAAGTTGTCCCAAGTCAAGCGGTGCTGTCATCTATTGGGATGTGAAACAGAAATGAGCAGGTCCAGTGAGGGTATCAGGAGTTCTGGTTGGATTTGTTAACTTGGAGATGCCTGTTTGACATCTGTAAAGACGAGGGCCACAGACATACATGTTGTGGTCATCAGGGAGTACATGATTCATTGAGTTCTGACACTGGATTGAGGGAGTGACTGGATGGAAGAGAGGAGATGTCCCAAGACAGAACCATAAGAGGGCA